CTTCCATAGCAATAGTGAGGTATTTGATAAGAAAGCAATCGATTTCATTAATTAGGCTTGAAGAAAAAGTGACGTTCAAGACGAGTAGTATCTATATTTTCATTTACTTTCGTACCTACGTACATACAAAATACGTAAAAAAAAATTAATATGACATATGCAATTTAGAACGAATTTTAGTGTAATTAATATAAATCCCGTGATTTCGCTAATGTAAACAATGTTTAATTTTTTTTATTTCTAAAATTATTTTCGATCAATGAATATTCAGCTAAATTACCATATTTTACCCAAGAAGGTTTATTTATGCATATCCTTAGAGTGGAAATCTCTCAAATAAACTTCCATATTACAGGATAATCCTAATTGACATAGTCGTTGATCATTTATTGCCCTCTAATTTGTACCAACTGTCGTTAACTAGGTAAAAAGAACATTTGAATTAATTTCGCATTCAAAAAATATTTACTTAATTCCTAACCGTAAATCATATGCATTTTATCTAATACTAGCTGACCCACCCGCTTTGCTGGGTAATTTTTATTATAAATAAAATGGCGAAGTATTTACGGAATTCTAAAAATGAGTAGCCTAGAACCATCTACAAATCATTCCACATCGAATAAAAACTACTAAACGTATAGTCTCATGTCTATACGTTTAGTAGTTTTTACGTAATTGGCGAACAAAGACAACCTATTCTCATTATATATATATAGATTTTATCTAATATATCATTGTATCTACACATATGTAAACTATATGTAGGTGACAATTAAAATTTTTAGAATTGGCCACTTAGAAACTGTAAAATAAATAAAATTAAATATTAAAAAAGAACTCTTTGCTAACCTTATTATGTATTTTCCATTATCATTTTTTATTACTAAAAAATGATAGATAATGGAAATTGTGGAAATGGAAATCAATTAGTAATTGACGGCAAAAAGAAAATTATTTGTCTAACATCAACATGAATTTAACGCGAGAAAATTTTTGTGCAATAATATTCTGTGACTTTCGCCGACTATAAGCCAAAAAGAAAGTTATAAAAGATTTCGATTGACCTTTGATAATCGAGCTTTATCCCTTGCCACTATTTATAACTGGTTTAATACAATGGTTCATATAATGGTTTAATATAATGGTTCTTACGTGGTCACACTAATCTGACTGACGATCTGCATGAGAGATGTCCTTCTATAGCGACAACCAATTACAAAGTCAGTAACCCACCAGCAGATTTGGAAAAAAAATAGTGTTTTAGAAGACAAAAAGACAGTCCTTGCAGATTGGGACACTAACAATTTTCTGCATTTTGTTTTGAAAAAAATTCGGGAAAAACGACCTATCATTAGGATTCTCCTACATCATGACAACGTCTCATCCTTAGACAAACAACTAACTATTTGGGGACGTTAGTTAAAGAAATACTGGGTCAACTACCTTACAGCCTTGACGTAGCACCATCCGATTTTCATTTATTTCTTAAAATAAAAGAATAACGTGGGAAAAGTGGTTTACGTACGCCGAGGAATCAATGGCTGCATACGAAAAAGCCGTGGAAGCGACCCCTAAGTGCTAATAGGCAAAGTGTTTCTCTCGGTGGTTCAACAATGTATTGATGTCAACAGACACTATTTTGAAAAACAATAATAGTAAAAATAACTTGCTAGTTTGCTTAGTTTTTGATTTTCTAAGGACTTTTAGATTGACCCACGTATATGTATGTATATATGTATTACACAAAATTATGTACGAATATCTATTCTTGTCTCTACGCGAGCGAAAACTTTGTGATTGTTTTAGGTAAATAGTAGTAATAGAACAATTAAATAACATAGAATATGACAAACCACAGGATTAAATACCTAATGATAAAATACACCATCTAAAGTTAATGAATAGAATAGCCACGTTTCTACTCACGTTGGTATTAAAAGCTTATTGTAATAGTACAACAATTAATTATTTTAAAAGTAAAGAACATGATTCACTCAAGGTTTGCCGAAAGCTGCCTGTTGAGGCTGTTAAGCCCTAAATGTAGATTTGCTGGATCTTGAATAATGAAACCGCTACTTTTGCAAGAAGTTCCCGGCGGCTCGAGTTTCAATTGGTAGTCCTTTTAGTTTTCTTTCCATGATAGGAGAGAATTGTACCCTTTTATTAGCCTTTGTCTCAGTCGTATTGCTAAAGAATTCGCTAGGAGCAGTTGGATAGGTAGAGACAGACGATACAAAAACAAATATGTCTATAAACAAAATATTTATTTTCAAGAAATTATAATATACTATTACGAATGTAATGCACAGATTCGAGATGCTGTGACAATATTGCTATAATATTCCATTTTGAAAGCATATACAAATATTTGATAAGCGTTTAAGTTGAATAGCAACTTGTAGGCACGTACATTTTACGAACAAAAAACTTGCTAGTATGTATACATTGCAGGGTAAATAATTGCTAACAAAAACTTGCGAATTCTTTATTTCTTTTTACAGAATTGCTTTCATTTTCTGTAAAAGACGGCTGATATATTTGTCTCCTTCTATAATTTATACGAGTACAGTGAGAAGAAATTGTGTAAACAATAAGCCAGGGGCGCTAAACTTTTTTTTTCTTGATATGCACAGTACTTATTAATTAGAATACTAAATTAAAATGACTAATACATTCATACCATTATGCTTTTTATATTCCACGTTCAAACTTCTTTCAACCGAATAATGCTTGCAAATAACTTAGTACACGTTGTTATTAAACACAAAGGTTAAGAAAATATAATGTTTTTTAATGAAAGGAATTACATTTACGATATAACAGAAAAACATGTAATTGAAAATTTTAAAAAATATTGTGTGTCAGCTACGACGCATAACTGAAATTTATTCGTCACGAACGATTATTATGGAATATACAAGATGTAGAATAAGGAAATAGGGTAAATTAATCATCTTTTATAATACTAAAATCATATATACACATTTAGTCTAATTATTTATATCTAATTAAATACTTTACATAAATTATGTTACATAATAATGATATAATTATTTTATATAAATACATTTTTAGGAAGATTGATTTATTTCATTATTAACATCGCCTTAAATAATATTATTACTTGAACAGTATCGTCATCAATAAATACTGCGTTGACGTTCGACGTTGCTCAGAATAAAAAGTAAAAAAATGAATTAATAGTTCAAAACGAGTGCAAGCACAGCTGGAATACTTTGTTCCATTATGGATTCCCATTGCCAACCCTTTCAGCTCCGTCATCAGACCTTCAAAACCAATCAAGGTCAAAGGGCATCTCATAACAGTTCCAACAATCTTAAACAGGGCTATAATGTGTTGTTCCGTTATAAAATCCCAGCGTAAACCTTCCGGCTTGATTCCGGTTAACTTTCAAATTCACCATTTTGGCATTTGAAACCTTGACAGACGACACGTAGTCGATATGATTTAGTTTTAATTTCATTATTTTCTCATTGTGTTATTAATAAAGAAAAATATCGATTATTCATTAAATTATTAAGTATTCCTTAATAACTTAATGAATTACGTATTCCTTGATGGATAACAATCTGTATTTTTCTTCATAACACAGTCTTGAGTAATGATTTCTGATGACTATGAAATTGTTATTATATTCAAAAGAGAAATATCCGATGCGATCACATTCTCTTGAATGGAGTTAAATTCAATGTAAGTATTACATCTGTAAAAAAAATGTATAAATTTTAATCGTTCTATATTTCGAGTACAATTAATGACAGCTAAGTGTGTTTTACAAGTTATGATTATCATGGGATATTGATCCACAACTTTCATTAATTGTGTGTCAAACATAGTTGATGTTGCTAGTAACAAAATAAAAACTTTAATTATTGAAATAGTACCCCGGACTTGACAGTAATTTGTTGAAACAACAAATTTTGTCAACAGAATTTGACGATTTCGTTGAGTGTTAAAGTAAATGTTATATTTAATAGTTATAGAAGATGTTTCACGAATGTATGGAACTTCGGCCTCCACCTTCTACATAACTAATTTAACAATTCTTATAATGAAGTATAGTGTTTTTACTATCATTTTCACGTATTTCAGCTTAGTTTCTTTATACAAAACTATTGAATTACGAGCAGAAAAGAAGATAGCAGTGCATTATTTTTCTTTGTATGAGTACATTCTGTCGAGCATTCTCGCCCTTATGTGATTACATCATATTGACGTTTTAATGAACGTTAGCAAATTAGAACTAAAAGCTCAATACACTCAATAAAACAAAAAAACAGGATGAATAAAAAGCTGTATTTGTAAGTACTTCTATATCTTTAACTTATAACCTAATCGGGGATTATAAGGTTTTTCATTATTATTTTGATATTACATCTTTTATGGTACATTTACTTTGTGTTTGGTAATTAACAACTTTCAGAACGAACGCATTATTAAATAATGCTTTTGTTCATTACAAATATTTCGAAAATTGCAATTTTATTGTTTTTACAATAATATATATATTCATCTTTGATGTACAAAGTGTAGACATGTAACATCTCCTTTTACAATTAAACACCACTGATTTTAAAACACCCCACTGTTAGTCTCTCAGATTAATCTTATGCATATATATGCAACATTATGCAAATATCAAAATCATCATAGTAATAAATTATCTTCGCTGTGATCATCAAATTGATTCGATGTTCTTTCGCTTTTGTTCGTTTGTCGTAACCTTAATGTATACTTTAACTACACATGAAAACCTAAACGACTATACACTACATGTTCTGTGATCATCAATGGTCAATGTTATAAATCTCACAAGAAAATCATAATTTTAGAATGAGAAAAATAAATACTTATTTTTATTTATTAAGAGTGAATGTGAAGTTAGAACCTTGTCCTTGTCTTATGCAATTACTCGTTACCTTGCTTTCACTGCATCGAATTTGTATATGTAATCTATTTTAGGCACTTATTGCAACGGGGGCGTAGCTCAGATGGTAGAGCGCTCGCTTAGCATGCGAGAGGTACCGGGATTGATACCCGGCGCCTCCAACATATGAAAAATTACTTTTATGAAAATACATAATACGATGCTAAATTATCGTAGTATGTTTTTTTTTTTAATATGAAGCAGGTACTTCTCAAATTTTAATCCTGATGTTGATAATGTTAATTACGAATAAATGTTTCATTACGCGTATGATATTTTCTTCGACCAATGTTAAATCTAGTTTATTTTTGGGTTCCGTACTTCAAAAGGAAAAACGGAACCCTTGTAGGGTCACTCTGATATCTGCTTGTCTCTTTGCTTATCTGTCTGTCCATGTATCTGTCTGTTCTTCTGTAGTGATTCTTTTAATGTAGAACGGTTAGAGACATCAAGTTAAAATTAATATAAAACACTATAGACCGTTTGAAGTGATACAAATTTAGTGTCTAAATCACGGCAATCAAGAGATGGGGCCGTTGTAACGTATTTTGAAAGCTCACTCATCGACACCTACAGACTGCTTTCTTTGACCTAACAAGGGCGCCGACAGGGGGTGCAAGAGGATGCAATTACATTTCCTTTATTTTTCCTATTTAGTTAGAAGGTACCCTGAAATGATAAATAAATTAAATACATATTATTAATACACGCCATGTGAAAATAATTGTGCCAGCGCCCATGTAACACCGTGAAATTTGGCAATAAACAAAGATTCACAGCACTACAACAGGAAAAATCTGAAAATCGTTAATTTGTTGATATATCACTGAAAAAATATATTTTGTTATTACAAACCGATATTTACAGTGTGGACCATGGTATAGACCGATGTTTGGACGAACATCATTGGCTGTATGAACAAAAACTAAACCGATTGGGAAACAGATTTGTTTTAATTTCTCATTGTGCAAATTAAAATTATTAAATGATTGGAAGAGTAAAAATCTTTCGAAGAATTTATAAAGGTTTTTAAGAAGTATTAGGCGCGAATCCCACCTGCACTTCTCCCGTTATTTAAGTCTTTAACTACATACTAGTTACATTTTATTATGTAATTTATTATATTACATTTATATAATTTGTTATTGTAAATTATAATAAAAAAAATTAAACGTAATTTTAAGCATCTAAATATGCATAAAAAATTGTATTTTGATTAATCAAAATACAAAAATTTCCATTTATAGAAAAAAGACAATATTATTTGACATAATTTAATACAAGGTTTATTGTTGCAAAGGACTACTTTTGTTAATAAAATTTGTGTTGCATTAGATAACATTAAAATATAAATAGTGTTATATCAGTTCATAAATTACAATTTAGCAAAATATATGTTATATTCTACAGTTTTTATTTTATCTGAAAAATGTTACCAATAGCAAAGCAAATGCTATAATTGTTGTTTGGTTTAACGGTTAATATTTTTTTTTCAGTTTTCAAATTTTCTTAAGGTGTAGTTTTATGAAAAGAGAGGATTTAGCATATTCATTAAATTAATGGAAAGAATAATTTATGTAAGTCTAAAAACTATATAAGTTTTTGAACTTATGCTTTTACAAGCTTTCTTTTGACCATTCGACAAAATTCAAAAAGTTCTATCATTTCAATAAATACCTTATTTTACCGTCAAAATCGTAATTTAACTTTGAAATGATATACTTGACTTATCAATCGATTCTATTTCATACAGGATTTTACCTTTTTATATCTAAGTTGAATTATCGCAACGAATGTCGTCTAGATAAACAGTCAGACGGATAGTGATTTGGATAGTCATAGGAACACTAATACAATCAATCATACGGACACTCTCATAAGGGAAGATTTCATTTTGATACGAAATGAAATCTTCTTTTCGTTTCGTAGCCGAACACACAATATAGCCTATTCAAAAACAGGATATACCGCAGTAAACGACCGTCGAAACGCTTTGTCGAGTTCGCTTATATATGCGACATTGCGACACCCACTCCAAATCGTCTTCCATTGAACCGCGTGCAAACAACAAAAATCTAAAGACTTTACCGCTTCTGAAAGAAAAAATACAGATGATTCCTTAACATGTAATTTATTGTGAAGGCCTGCGAAACAACCTTGAAAACGGTCGGCGAGATCGACCGCTCGCCTCGGACGTTCCCAGAGCACACGTGCCATCTTTTGTTATTACTTACGTACGCTTATGCGCCCCACGCAGAGGGCGCGCACGAACGTAAAGGTTTAATAGGGCCAGAAACACTTGACGAAGGTGATGCGGTCGGCTGTACGTGTACATTCTAGAAGAGATATGTTCACTCTGAAACATCTCAATATGCAAATAGTTAGGTTACATTCTCAATGCTTTGTTTCCATTTCTCTGATCGCCGTGAATAGGCAACTCAAGAGGCCACCTCTCCTCTTAGTAGGAGAGCCCACGATGCTGGATGGGGATTTGCTCGAGCGCCATAGAGACCTATTGGGGTACGAAGCTTACATGATAAAAAGAAAAAAGTGTTAGGTAATATATACCTTTTCATCGGTAAGGGGAGCGGATATAGATTTTCCAAAATGTAAAAAAAGCTGTTACATAGACATATTCGAACGCGTCAGATAATGATAGCATCCATGTCTTACGTATTTTTAATAACGTACGTATGTTAATTTGATCGTTTGCATGATGGGGGTGGTTGTATGTAAGGGTTGAAAATAAAAAAAAAATTAATCGAGAGTGTCAGATTTTCTAAGGGGATGTTAGGTCAACCTAAAAAAAGCTTTCATTCAATAATCTGACGATTTAGACGTGACGCAAACTTGCGGCCATTATTAGAAAGTCCAAACAAATCGCTATTTTGAAATACTCAAGCGCATCAGATTAAGATATATAATATGGTTCATCTTTATGTCCTAGACGCCTATAATCTGACGATTATCTGGAGGGATTCGCCTAATCTGACAATTAAACGATGTTGCATGATGTTATTTACAACGTTAGTTAGTAATATCATGCCACGAATGACGGTGTCATAGCAACAGCAGCCAGAGTGGAGACGAAGTGAGAGAGTAATAAATAGAGAAAGATTGAGAAGTGTAAACGCGGAATGGGGAATACAGGCATCACGCAGACGCACGTATTAAAATTTATCGACGAATTTTTATTACTCCGGCTCGTGGAAATCGTCAGATTATATGTTTTTCGTCATCCTTGAATTATTTCCTTGAAAATAAAAAAAATTTGGCCACGCTCGAGAATGTCGAGGTGACTTTTTATGCAAGTCTGTAACCCTCCCACTTCTTTACGTCACTCGAAAATTGTTAGATTAGTGGAATATACACTTTTTAGCATGTAATTAACTCACCGTAGCTTAATCACGCGCTCGAGAATTTCTGATGAGCAATTTTTTTTACTAATCTGATCTTTTATCCTTTACGAGCGGTCTCCGCCACATCCTCCACCAAATATGAGGTTCATATTTGGTGGAGGTACTTAACCGGGTACAAGGTATCCCCCTGTATGTTAATCTGCAGCGCTTTAGTAAATCTCGAAATACCCTTTTGGGCTCCCCTATTATCTCGCACTCACGCGCCTTTCTCATTCTACGAGTGAGTAGAATTTTTACGAAAATCATTTTCATTTAAACGTCGTGCAGGAACGATACAGCTCTTTGTTCTTGCATTCTAAATCTACTTTTTGAGATTTCTCAATGGGTTCTTCAATTCATTTATCGATTTAATATCGGCCGTTAACGACTTCGCCCACACGAAAATAGTATGATCCAAATCCCTATCTCTGTCACAATCCCAATCATATTTCGGTTCATATTCGATTCGGATACATATTTTGTTCGCGACCCTGTTAAGATTCTTGATCCCAATCATGGTGCTAATCCTAATTCTGCTTTGAGTTCTTATCCAGATTCTAGCCCCGTGTCCGTTTCTGACCTCGGTTCCGTTCTTGATTATAATACAGATCCTAATCTTAATCCTGATTCTTATCCTACTTCTACCCGAACGTTCAGAATGTTTAATTTTTTGGCTCCATTTTCAATTTCACTGACGATCACGGTATATAGAACCTATGGATCTGAACAGAGTTCTACCTATGCTATTCCAACTTATATCAGAATCAATTTCTTCTTTTTCGACCTATGCTTCCTTTTGCTAATTTGGCTATTACACGATTTTTTTTCTCTAAATTTAAAGAAAATAAGACGAAAATTGAACAACATGACGAACTTAATTAAAGCAATGCTTTTATCAAGTTCCTGGATCAAGTTTTTGAGAACAGTCAATTTCGGCTGTTTTTCTTCGATCTCATGCAATACCAATGCTCTATCTCACAAAAGCACATAAAATGTATCTATCTCCAATAATGTAGCTGTATAATATAACCTTGAGAACCCTCGAAATGTTACAAAACTAAATTTTTGCAAAAAAACAAGCAGACAAATTCGCTCTCTGTCTTTAAAATATACCTTTGTTACAAAAACACACTACAATATATAGCTTTAGCTCGTATGTATGTCGTTTGTATAATATAACCATATGCTATTAATTTAACTTGTTGAGTGATATAGATATAAGCTACATGAACCAGATAAACAAATAGGAAAAAATAAATTAAACACTGTTGATTTTGCTTAAATGTAAAATAATTTTAAACAGTTTTGAAGTTCTCATAACTTAATCATACTATGTTTGAAAACAGTTAATATTAATACAGATAGGAACTATTATGAGACAATCAGTTTAAAAAGTATTCAATTAATATCATTTAAGAAGGGATTACGGTTAGTGAGCGATAAAGTATTGTGATTGAATTGTCTGCGCATTGCCCTTATCGATTTTTTTTTTGTTTAGTTATTGTTATAAATTTGTAATTTTCTTGTTGTTATTGAAAATTTTGTGCAAAAATAGCTCAGTATCTTTCTAAGTATGGCAAAATTGTGAGCTACGAGTATAACCCTCAAGTGAATTTTAATCTTGTTGAATCGTCAGGATACATGCATGTCGCCTAGTGTGTGAAGGCCATAGAGATAAGTCTTTCATATTATTAAAATTATCCCAGCCTTCGGTATACATACTT